AGTGTTTTAGATCTCACACTACAGCTATAAAGTTGTAGGCACTAGGAGTGCCTAGGCACACTCACAAACCAGGAAGTGCACTTTTTTTTTTTTCAGGAGTAATTCCAGACAAAAGGTACACTTTCAGGGTATTGCTTAGGCACATTGAATCCTTCCAGATGATCCCTATAAGATAGCTAATCTTCACTTTCAGAGTGAAAATGAGAACTTTTTATTAAATAAAGCTGCCTGTCTATTAGGTTTAGTTACCCTCTAACAACGATAAAGGTAAGTTCCATGTTTTCTGTATATTATTCATATTTGAATAAAAATATATTATTTTTGTGCCCTGGTTACAGATAACACTCAATTAAGTGTGTAAATGTAGCTCCCTGTACATTCTAATAAGCCTGGAAGTCATAGAAGTGTTTCTAAAACTGGTGTGCGTGACTTCACAGGGAAAGTACATCTGTGTTTGAACCACTATTGGGACAAGTAAAGATCACAGGGGCCAAAAAGCATCTGGTCCTGTTGGTAATTGACTTTACATTACTTCACCTTGAAAAGACATTATTGACGAAGTATTTTCACTGTAAAGCTTTCCTGAGTGCTTGACTAATGGGGGGCTGAAAGTGGTTTAGCGCTGGAGGCCGTGTGCAGTTTAGCAAGTTACCTATAGCAATAAAAGGCATGGAACACTGTGGACCTGTTCTGCAGATGCAACTTTCCAGTCCTTTGATTGCTAATATCGCGATTATTTATTTATAACCTGTCAACGCTCTCCTTAGATGTACGCAGTAAGAAAATAGGATTCTAAGTAAAATTCTGGTGCTAATGTGCATGTAGAATCAGATAATGAGGTGGATGCTGCCTTCAAGCTTACAATCTTTAGGGCATTATGTGCATTAAACCATCACAGTATCAACACTCCTTGTAATGTTTTACAGCCAGAAGACTGACATGACCCACTGACTGGAAATGTAAGTAGTGCTATTTGTGCATTATAATAAAAAATACTATTTCTAAGTGCAGCCACCTTTTCCCGTTCTTAATCCACCCACATGTCATTTCTTTATACATATGATTGCCTTTTCAGAAGTGCAAAGTAAAGAGCAATCATGATGTCTGAATGCTATAATCTGCAGGAGGCAATCAGAATACAACTGATCTCAGTACACATAAATCTTGCCTGTCAGGGGGATCAAAAGTCTTCCAATAGTAATACCTTGTATAAGAAGAAGTTTTTTTACATATGTTTTCGGCTGGCCTAGAGCTGAATCTTTGCACTTTTGAAAAGCTCCAGGAGAGACTCTACTATCTGACACTTCCTGATGTGTCTAATAATGTGTCCCCCGCTGGATTATGTTGATCTTTCCATCAACCCCTACATCCCTCCAGGAAACAGTGGTGATGCAGGTATTGGCGGGAGGAACCACAGCAGCCAGCGGGAGACATGCTGTCTGAAACACTTGGAAACTTTGGATAATAGTGGCACCAAAAGAAAGCGAAAATTCAACATACTGCCCACTTGATCAGAAAGAATAAAGCCCTTCCTTTAGAGGCTATTGCTGTTGGACTCTGACAGGGTAAGGTAAAAGAGTTTCTTGGTAGCCCATCCCCTGACCCACATATACTTACCTTAGCTATGCTCTTCCCCTGCTGATGTTCTGGAGCTGTCACTGATATCTGGTCCTTTGGGATATGGAAGAGCATGCAACTTCCCACACCCAAACATTGACACTTGAGTATTATTATTATAATACAGGATTTATATAGCGCCAACAGTTTGCACAGCGCTTTAGAAAATGAAGGTAGACATTAGAGTTACAATACAATTTGGTAAAAGAGGAAACAGAGGGCCCTGCACTTTAGAGCTTACAATCTAGGATGAGTGCAATGTCATCAACCATGTCTAAGCTTCGACTCCATCTGACATGGAACTCATATAGTAATTGGGTTGGTGGGTGGTCTTACAAGACAACTTGAAAAAACACAGAAAAATAAAGTATTTTAATTGCTTAATTGCAGCATTCTCCTTTCCATAATTTATTTGTATTCCCTTGCGATGTGTCTTTGAACTTTCTAGCAAAATTAACTTTCTAGAAAATCTGACTCCAGGAAGAGTCAATTCTCTAGCTCAACCCTCTCCCTCCTTCCAAATCATAGTTCTCACCTCTTCTGTGAATGTCTAAATGCTCTCTGGGCTGGCCCAGCTCCTCTGCCCCTCCTCTCTCTACACAAACTTTTTTGTAGCTGTCAGGGGAGGAAGGGAGGAGAATACTATAGATCAGGGGTAGGCAACATCAGAACTCCAGCTGTGATGAATCTACTTATCCTATCATGCCTCTGCCATTGGGGGTCATGCCTGTGGCTGTTATAGTCTTACAATGCTTCATGTTACTTGTAGTTCCACAACAGCTGGAGTGCCAAAGTTGCCTACTCCTGGTATGGAGTGTCACTTCAGTGATAGCTTTGTGTCTGCTGGGGCTGCTGACATCATATCCAAGATGGTGGCATCCATCAGCAATCTTGAGGATTTGGATGTCTACAAAAGAAAGACTTGTACAGATAAATAACATGCCTAAAAATGTTACAAACATATAAATATTATAAATATATAATAATATAAATAGATTGTTGTTGAAATGAATGGTCTGGCAACCTCTTCCTGTCTGGCCCATGTCAATAAACGGCTGGGCAGGAGCGCTGCCGATGCGGGGGAATGTTTCTAAACATCCCCCTGCATCCATTGCCTGTGTGCGCTCCCTGGGACACAGCAGCAAACACCGATTGCTGTACGGGACCTCTGTGTGAGGTCCCAATTCATGTGATCACTGATTGGCTAATCAGTGATCACATGAGTAGTAGTAAACAAGATGTCACTTCCTGACATCATTGCTTACTACTTGTGAAATCTGTGAATAATCACAGAGGTCACCTGGTCCAAGGCTATTCACAACAGCCTTGTACCATGTGACAAGCCGTGACCAATCGCAGCTCGCACAGTATTTCTTAATGGCTGCAAGAATGCAGCCAGAGAGAAGGAGAAATGATTGCTTTTACAGCCTTTATGGCTGTAAGAGCAATCAGTGTAAAAAAAAGGAATAAGATCTTCATTACCCCCCACAAGTAGTACAGTGTTACTATGGTGACACTGTACTGCTAGTGTGACAGTATATAAAAAAAAAAAAAACATAAATAATAATATAAAAAAATTTTTTAGAAAAATTATAATTTTTGGTTATAAACTAATTTGGGTTATTTATTTTTTTTACTAAAAAGATATCTGAATACATTTTGGCCAAGATTTATGATTTATTTGCAAAATATTATAAGAAAAATACTTTTTTTTAAATTTTTGGAATTTTTAATTTATATAGCAAAAAATAAAAATCCCAATGGTGAATAAATACCATCAAAATAAAGTTTTATCTGTCTCAAAAAAATGCTAAAAAATTCATATGGGTACAGTGTTACATGACCGCGCAATTGTCATTCAAAGTGTGATAGCGCTGAAAGCTGAAAATTGGCCTGGACAGGAAGGGGGTGAAAGTGTCCGGACTGGAAGTGGTTAAGTAAAGCCTGCTGATATATTTTAGGAGTAGACTTTGCTCATTATCATTTTTGTTTCTGTGTTACCTGATAAGGCTAGGTTCACACCTGCCCACAGTCTGCGGGCAATCACCACCCACAACCACTCACAGCTAAATTGTGCTGCTCCTATGAAATGCATGGGGCTGCCATTCATTTTAAATGGCACCCCCGCGCATCTTGGTCCGTAGTCAAACAGACCAAGCGGTTTCCCTGAAGCCGCATTTTTCAAAAAGTGAATGCACCTTTTCCTGCGGGAAACATGGGCATAGCAGCCCATTCAAATGAATGGGCTGCCATGCCTGAGCAAACACGGGGCATGGCCCACAATAGTGTGAACCTAGGCTTAAATAAGCCATTTTGTCTTTTTGTAATTTATCATTTTACTTTCATCTGTCTTTCCCTCCCCTCCCCCATAATCTATTCTGCTGCTTGTCTCTTTTCTTTTCCATCCCTAGCGTCTTTTATTTCCTGCTTCTCTTCTCTATTCATGCCCCCCTTACACCCACCTGATGTCATTCTTTATATGCTTCTCTCTGTCCTTTCCCTTTCTGCTTTCTTGGCTCTGTGATCCATTTCTTGTGCTTTTGCATGTCTCCTTTCTTTGTCCTCCTCTGCTTTGTGCACCCATGTTTCTTCATAGTTTATTTAGTCTGTATGTATCATATCAACCAATACAATCCCAGATTTCATCTTTTCTAGAGCAGGTGAGAAAAGAAAAGAGCATCACAGTCAAGTGTCTTTATGATTTCTTTTACATCACTTTGATTTTTTTTTTGTGTTCTTTATAAATGTGGAGTAACCTCCTAGCTGATTTCAGTCTTCTTTAGATGCTGAAAATGTTAATCACAAAATGCATCTTTTTTTTTTCTTTTGTACTTATTACAACTCTATATTTGAGTTCCCAGGTCCACCCATAAGATGTAGCAATCAATGTTAGTGGTTCACATTCTGGAATTTTCATTTATTTGGTATAGAAAATGAAGCAGCAGTAGTGAGACTCACTGAAGCAAAGGGGAGGAGTAGGACTCCACCCATGAGGAGTTCAAAGCTAGGATCATAACTGGATAATCTCTAAGTCAAAAGGCATATAAACTCAAACCCCACATGGACTATAAAATCAGCTTTGAGTCGACAAACCCTTTAAAGGCCTTAAAATATCTTCTGTTTTCTCATTGCTCATCTTTTTATACATCTCTTCTCACTACCTCTAATCTCCACTTTTATTTTATAGAGGGAGCTACTAGAGGGACTAAAAGGTGCCATAAATATGTTGATTTTCTGTACACAAAGGTTATTTCAGACCATTACCTACCGGCTGATTTAGAATTTTGAGAGGTATACAATTTTGAATGGTCAGTTTAGCTAACATATGCGAGGTGCACATGCATCTTTTCTAGGATCATTTCAGATAGCTCCCCAATAATATATACAGTACACACAGGCAGATCTCTCACATGATAGAATATAGTATTAAAGCAGGGCTTAAAATTTCAAGTCCTGAGCTACTAGCCAGGCCTTAAGAGTTACTCACCACCAACAAACACACACAGAGACACCTGTACACACAGACATGTACATACACACACACAATATGTACACACACGCACAGAGACACATGTACACACACACACATACAGACACATGTATAAACACACAGGCACATACAGACATGCATACACACAGATACATGTACATACACAGAAACACACACGCACAGACACATGTACATACACACAGACACATGTACATACATACACATGTACACACAGACACATGTACGTACATACACACAAACACACATGTACATGCATACACACACAGACACATGTACACACACAGACACATGTACACACACACATACATGTACATACACGCAGACACATGTACAGATACACACGTGTGTGTATACACACAGACACATGTACATGCATACACAGACACACACACATGTACATACACACACCTATAAAAAGTTGCAGTACTTCGTTGTTCACTCACAGAGCCAGATACTGCACTCTAGGGGGAGGCAGAGAGTACAGCACACACACTCCTTCCTTTGCTTTCACTGCGCTCAGTTATTGAGCAGTCTGACGTCTTCCAGTGCCAATGACAGATCCGGCCTGAGCTCCGAGCCTGCTCAGCAAGACGGCCCTGGGAGACACACTCGCCCCCACCATATTTCCACTCGCCATTGGCAAGAAGGCGAGTGGAAATTTCAAGGCCTGTATTAAAGTGTATGTCAGGGTGAAACAAAAAACATATGTAGTACATCTCCACAATATATGCACATTTCCCCATACTTTATCCCTTTGAAGACCCCACAGAAAAATATGTGTTGATGTGTCATAAATTCACTCAGCTCTTAATTTCTTGGACTGACAACACCCAGCCCTACCATGTTAAGCTGTTACTAAACTATTGATCTGCACCACTTCTTCTCATGTCCACGTTATAGAAATTAAGGGCCCTTTCACTCTGCTCTGTAGCAAAATTGTAGTAAACACGTATATATGCCTTTTTGCCGCAATTTTGCTGTATTTCATATGTGTTTCCAGTGTGCTTCTGGTGCGTTTTTCGGTTGCTTGCACCTGTAAAAATGGACATGTGACTCAAAAATGCAGTAAAGTTGCAAGACACTGTGCATTTTTAGTTTGTTTTTGTTGTGCTTTTTTCTGCATTTTCCATTCATTTCAATAGGGAGCTGTTTTTTTTTGGCGCAGTTTTTAAAACTGCACCAAAGATGCAGCGAGCTGGATTTTTCAGTAAGCACTGTACCTGCAGTGCAGTTGTGTGAAGAGTTCCATAGTATTTAAAGGGAAAAAAATTTCTTATGTTTTTCTTGCAAGTTAAAAACGCAGGAAAAAGGCATCAGTGTAAAAAGACTCTAATAATTCTGTAGTCCAAGATAAGAACTGGGAGGGATAAGCAGACTCCTTGAGAGTATACACAGGGCGGCTCTGAATATCTGAAAAGGCCAAAAGTTATTTTTATACTTTTATATTACTTTTATATAACAAAAACACTTTTGATGGCATATTTAACAGATCAAAGGGGAATACATAAGAGAAGTTCATTGTTAGGGTTCATATATACACAATTTTCAAACCACTCAAAGTATTGTTTGTTAAGCTGAGCTAGGGCCTCTTGCCCTCAAACTCAGACTCGGAGGGGAAGAAGCACCACAAGGAGCCAACCAGATGGTGTGTTGTGCTCATGTGTTAATAAGAAACAGGCTGATGGGAGGAGAGAGCAGATTGGCAGAGAGAGGTGATCATCAGTCTGCTGCTACTCCTTCTGTGTCCAACCGCAGACTGGCGATAGGGACAAGGCCAAGCTATATTACCTAATTGCAGTAAAGTCAGGTCTCTGGGTTTGCAGTGCTGTCTGGAAGCAATAGGTAAATCTCAGTTATAAATGGACAACAATGTAAATCATTATAATCATTATATTTTATCTGTTTTTATATCTGTTTCCCATGCAATGAATACATCAATGGAATAAATGGTGTTTTTTTCTATCTGCCTAGAGGTTTTTCTACAAACATTTCAGATTGGTTTGCTTCATACAGTTGTATGAGAGTTGAAAGGAAAAGTCTCCAGCAATGTAATTGAGTACAGAAGAAGGGGCAGACCACCAGTGAATCTTTTTAAGTGACTTTTATTTCACTGGGTACCAAGCAGGGGCGGACTGACAACTCATGGGGCCCCCCGGGCAATAGGGGATCATGGGGCCCCTGTGTCTTTGCCCAAACTCAAAAAAGCCTATGAAAAAGGTACCAGGGGCATCTCATGGGGCCTCCTACTGACCCTGGACCCTCGGGCAGTGCCCGAGTTTCCAAATGGTCAGTCCGCCCCTGGTACCAAGGTATATAATAGTATTTCCCAAGCGTATTTACTATGGGACTCATGGGCCAGTGCTTATGGCAAGCAAGACCAGAGGGAGTAGCACCAAGCTCACAATCTATAAATTCCGATAACTTTTTCATTATTTTGTCACCCTCTAATGTCCACCTGTGAACATTTCTGGCTAACTTCAGCAAAAGAACTGTAGGAGGGTGCAGGGGACATGGAAGAGTCAAAAGGTTCCTTATACATCAGGAAACATGAACTGTAGGGGGGTGCAGGGGACATGGAAGAGTCAAAAGGTTTCTTATACATCAGGAAACATGAAACGATCTCCTTTCTTGTGTATGGTGGTGTGCACTGTTAGAAAGTATCGTCATATATAAAGCAGACCCATGCTGCCTTCCATAGCACGTTCTAGCACAATTTTTTAGTAAAACAATATCATGGCACAAGGGGTAGAACCCTTACCAAAAGTGCATCATCACTCAGTTATACATAGGGTAGCATGACACCACCATTTACACCACATCATCTGAAAGGCATTAGAAAAGGACTCATTGATAGTAAGTACATTTGTAAGATGTATATAACATTATAACCCCTTGTACTGCCTGATTATCCTTAAAGCTGGTTTTACAGCTGGATGGTGCATTAAGGCAATCACATTAGTGCTGGGTATACACGGGCCAAATATCATCTAGTATTGGCCCATTCAACAAAAAACGGCCTGCATTCGGTCAGTGTGTACAGCTGTCTTTCCATCCAAAGCCGGTCTAACGACCGGCTTTTGTTGAAGGAACAAGCTGGAAAACCAGTCAATTGCAGCAAGAACTGATCAGTGTGTTCTGGCTGGGAAGGGGGGACAACACATAGGCACAGCGGGGAAGATCACTGCACTAACATTGTGTTAGTGCAGCAATCTGTCAGTATTTTTTTCTTTCAGTCTGCTGGGTTAAACCAAAAAATACTTTACACGTGCACCAGACTTAAAGCCTGTTATGTTGCACATTATTGTGCATTGCATTAAGGCAGCCCATTTATTGTACACAGGAAAGGACATCTGATTCTTTTGGGGGAACACAACATATGGCAGCACATGGTAGCATGTTACCCAGCATTTTAGTATGGTGCAATATATGTGCATTGCATTAGTACATTGGGAAGTCATTCAGAATGCAGTGCAAAATGCCATATTGCGTATTGTAACATGTGCCTTACTGCAATGCAATGATGAACTCATCCTTACTAGGATTTGTCAGGACAAACATAAGTGAGCTCCTTTTGATTACTTGGTTTGATGACTAGAGTGAAAGAATGTCAACACCACACCACGGTTTTCCTAAATGGGTCCAAAATTTTAATCAGTGATCACATTATTACAGCAAAAGCAACTTTTTGGAGCCTCGTAGAACCTCTTCATCAGACATGCCTGAAGAAGGGGTCCTACAAGGATCCAAGACGTTGCTTCTGCTTAATGATGTGATCACTGATTAAAGCTCTGAACCCATGTTTGAGACCCGTGGTGTGCTGGTGACATTCTTTTACTCTGATTGTCTCTGGTTCCAGTCGACAGTTGCTGCAGCACCCGCCTACATACACAGCCATTTCTACAGGAATGTGTGCATTGGGAATAATATGCTGGAATCTTTGGTTTAATGGCTGTCATCCTTATCCTTGCTTTACCAATTAGTGGGGGTGATTTACTAAAAACTGGTGTGCACAAAATCTGGTTCAGCTGTGCACCAATTTTGAAAGTAGTTCCTGCACTACTTTTTGAAATTTCAGGTGCATAGATATCTGTGCATGAAGTCGCACAGACTTCAAGCGAAGTTGCACAATTCAAAGTCAGAACCAGTGTGAACCTGGGCTTATTGTCAAAGATTAACTGAACAAGCTGAAGTTAGAAGCTGATTGGTTACTATGCACAGCTGCGTAAGGCTCTATGTACACCAGTTTTAGTCATTCTTCTTCAGTAAGTCACTGTTTAGTGTACATATCAGGAATGCCAACAGCCAACATACTTGTCCCAGATTGGTGACTAGTAAAGTAAAGCTGGCAAGAGATTAATCGAAATTCAGCCTGTTCAGAAGGGACTGGCTGAATTTCAAACCATGTGTGCCTGCTTCCGCTGGACAGAAGCCAATCGTTTGATCAACTTCTTTCAAATGGGTTTGTTTTAAAAATTTTCTCGATCAATGGTTGCAGCCGCAGGTCAACCTTTTTTGACAGTGGAGAGTCTCCACTGTCAGAATACAATGTCTCAGAGGGATGGAGCAATCTGCTTATTCATTTTCGTTCAGCCAAGTTAGTAATGGGAGCTCCCTAATTTTTTGCCTGACACATTCCTTGTTCAGTTTTCCATCTTGGTAATAAAATTCTTGCCTTGGTAGTAAGGTTATCTTACTTTCTCCCAGCATCAAAGCATTCTACAACTATAGCCATCAGTTAAAAATGATCACTTGCTGTTAAATCAATGTCATTTACTGGTTCATTTAATAGAATGGAGATTGAAAGGATAAGGGATTTTTGTGTCACATACAGAGCAGCAGACAATATATTCCAAATCATCGCTTTTACTTATAATTTCATCTAAAATTTGAAATCCTGTAAACTCATAAAATATTCAATGAAAATATACATCCATCTATAATCTATAGCATCAATTACTCTAATGTAACGGAATGAAAAGACAGGTTATTGGGGTAACAAAGTGAAATGATTTGCTGTAACCATGATGGAAGGTAGTACCATTTTTTGGAACCTAAAAGACACCATAGGCAGCCCATACATTATGCAGTTTTTTCATACAGCCAGCAGTTTGAATGAAAAAGGCATCCGATTCCACATATTCGAATCTTGCTTCTGAGCTACTGTTTTCTGATAGTGGGGCGACTTCAGTCTATAGCATGCGGCCCTGATCGAGTTGGGAAATTCCGACAGGGCAGTTATACAGAAGTCGATTGGTAGATCAACTTCTGTATAACCACAGTGTCCATACATGAATTGAAATTTGGTGGGTACCTGCTGAAGCGAACGAATTTCAGTACAAGTATGGCACTACCCCCTTAGGAGTCGCTGAGTTTTTGGTCCCCCTAAATCTCTGCACAGCCAGGCAACACACATTTTCTTCCACACTTTGCACACTGTAGTCAGTAAACAGTCCTTGAGCTTGGTTTTGTTGTTCTATTAAGGAGTTAACAACTTGGATAGGGTCTAAGGGTATATGGGATGCCCAGGG